GAATATTTTTTTTTATATTTTTAATTTGATTCTGATCTTTTGATCCATTATTTATCTATCGATGTCTTCTTTGTTTTTTTTTTATTTCACATTTACAATTTCTGTTCGCTTTATCGAAATTTCCATCGTTTTGAGTTCTTCTTTAGAGTTTACTCTCTCTTCCTTTCGTAATCATTTTGTCAATCACCCTCTATATCGTCTCGTAATTAAAACCTAATTTAACGAAAGCAAATTATCATGAAGACCACAATTACTCCGTTGCATGTTCATCAAGGTCAGTGTTGCCAAAATGGCGAAGAAAGAGCAACACTGGCAGCAGCATTAGCCGGAAATAATGTTTTTAAATCTATAATTGATGCCATTTAAGGTTTCTCCTCCGCGAATTATACCCGTTCTGGGTATGACGATAAACTACGTCCGCGTCCTGGGTAACACGATAAACTACGTCCGCGTCCTGAGTAAGACGATAAACTACATCCGCGTCCTAGGTAAGACGATAAACTACGTCCGCGTCCTGGGTATGACGATAAACTACATCCGCGTTCTGGGTAAGGCGATAAACTACGTCCGACGGCAAGGCCTCTGATCAGGAGGTTTTGAGGACCGTAGAACCACCTCTTAATTGCTGGTGTTCCCAGGTACACTCTGACCCAGGGTGGTAGCACCTGTTAGGGTCCCAGCTATGGGTAAATAGTTAATCCCCAAACTAGGGTCAAAACACTATGAAAGTTTAAAAATAGGTCTTAATACCAGAAATACTTTGTAAAAAATTGTTACCAGCAATAAATTTTTGGGAGAAAAAAAATTGTTACCAGCAATAAATCTTTGGGAGAAAATTTATTACCAGCAAAGTTTTTTTTTGAAAAAAATATTACCAGCTATACATTTTTGGAAAAAAATATTACCCGAAATAGATTTTTTGAAGGAAAAAAATTACTAGCAATATATGTTTGAAAAAAAAAATTATTACCAACAATAAAAAAATTTTTCGGCATTAAATAACCCATTGTGATTGGTATGTCTGTAAAACAAACCAAAGCAAACCAAAAAACCGCGAATTATACATACAACATCAATGAATTCCTTCGAACCAGTAATTAACATGCGTGTTAAGGTGTTCCCTCAGGGATGCGACTATTGGTCCCTAGACTCAACTCAGGCCTCAAGTGGAACTCGACATGCGATCCATCGCTAAAGATGCTGGAAATATGGTCGATTACTTGTACCGCTCCAATAAGTACCTGTCTCATCGTGCTCTCCTCTATCTTTACAAGAACCAGATCAGGCCTAAAAGGGGGTACTACTGTCATATTTGGACAGGAGCTGCCCAGTCCTCACTTTTCAGTTTCTGCGTCCTTGTAGATGACAAATTATTTTCCACCCTACAACTACACGAAACGTCGCAAGCATCTCGCTGCTCTACCGTTTTTTCCCTGAAAAGTGCTCAGACGAACTACATTCCTTAGTTCTACTAGTTATAACTTTCATGACTAAGATCCGCCATGTTAGGCATATTGTAGCGAACCAGTCTCATTCCTTTCGTATTCCATCGGTGAGAAGTAAGTTCCACTCGAGCAGCTTCATCTCCCGAACCACTGCTCTGTGAAATCTATTCGCAAGAAGATGTTTTACACACTTAACCCGTTCAAGTCTAGGGTTAGCCGTTATTTTCCCCACATATCCGCATAAACTGCCTCTTACTCGGTAACCCTCTATCCTCTTGTACAAGGTGAACCTTACTGTAAAAAAGGCTTTGATTTTCTCAACTTCTGTCCTCAGCAGCACCAATATAGGAAGAAAAAATATATTTACTTATGCATTTTTATTAGATTCAAAACCCAAAATTGAACATCTCTTGAAATAGTAGACAAAGTTTAATAAATAAAGTAAAATTAAAATATTTTCTTAAATCTCCTGAAAAGTATCAGTTATTATTCCATTAACGCCAGCATTTCTAGAAGAGGTCAATCAACTAACTTCATTTCTGAAATCAGATACTTGAATAAGCAAAACTAAAGATCAAAGACCTTATACCAAAGCAAAGAACAATCCTACGCTCACTCCCTACTTACTCCCGAATACTTAGCGATCTCAAATAAAAAATCCAGGAAAATGGAGCAGCCACTGATATCTTGTTAGACGCAAATATGCACCTGGTGGCTATGAGTACATCCTCCAGGTCATCTCGCTGATGCACCTGGCCTAGCTGATGTTCTAATGTAACACCGAGTGCAACGTCTATTTGGGTTGTCCCACTATATATTGAGGTCATCACAGATCAATTCTCTTAAAACAGAAGCTCTTAGTGCGGGCCTTTTAATTCTGATACTTCGTCATAGAAGGACAATCACCTCTTCGAAGGGGGATTGGTTTTCCGGGGACACATCTTGCGCATCGAGTCGTTTCCATATGACGAGCTATCGGACGTACCAGATCCAATCACCCTCACACTGTCAGAAGATGTGCTCGATGTACTACAAGTGTCGCTCACTGATATGATAGAATCCGTAATAGGACGAAAATATTTCATGTGCCGCGGTATTTCATCGATCAAAATTTTGTGTGGGCAGATGATACCAGTGACACAGGCTACTTTATATCCCATGGTATATCTTTTTTTGCGTGTGTGATTTTTATTCTCACGCGGCTGCCCACTTTTTTTTACAAACAGGTGCTTTTTCTGATGTTTTAGATGTCTGTTGCATATAACACACACACCCCAACCTCTCTCTCTCTCTCTCTCTCTCTCTCTCTCTCAAAGGTGGAATGTGGCAAGCCTCTCACTGCTCTATCGCTACTTCCATGGAAAGTGCTCAGACGAACTACAATCCTTGGTTTCGCTAGTTCTAACCTTCACGGCAAGTACCTGCCGACATTAGAACAAACCACCTACATTCCATCTGTATTCAATCGGTGAGAAGTAAGCTCCACTCGAACAGCTTCTTCACGCGAACCTCTGCTCTGTGGAACCAATTCCCAAGAGGCTGTCCCTCGATCACTACAATCTTAACCTGTTTAAGTCTAAGGGTAGCCGTTATCTTCCCCTTCTATCCGTATAAAATGCCTCTTTATGTAACCCTCTACCTCGAGTAACCTCGGGCCTTGTACAAGGTGAACCTTACTGAAACAAAAACACCGTTGACAGAAGATTGTGCTTGTGCCAAGACAAAAAGCCAAAATGAAAAATTCTGATTTTTAAAGCAAGCTACCTATCACCGTTTGAAATATTTGGCATAACATAACAAACCATTCCCCCTTCATGTGATCTTATGCTGAATTTATTAAATGTACATTTTATACAAGAATGAGTTTATCAGTTCAGCAGTGAAAAATTTTTCTTTTCAATTTTATAAAATGTGCACAAATGTAGACAGAAAGCTTCATGTTTGAAAACTAGAAACGGAGCTGGTTTTGAGAGTTCAGTTGTTCTTTATCCTTTGTTGAAAAAAAAATGGTGGTTAACAAGATACACGTATATCGCTGCAAATTATTCCTTTTCAAATGAGACAAGATGAAGAAGATGATTGATGAAGCCTATGGTAATGATTTGGCTGGAAGCAGTCTGTTTCTCGAATTGTTTTCCATATTCAAGGATGTTAAATTTAACTTGAAGGGCGAAACCCGAAGCGATATAACACAAATGGAAAATGGCTTCACTACGATAACTGCAAGTGTCGGAAACCACGATTGGGTCCATGACAGACTAAAATATTAAAAGCAAAATATAATTTTTGCCTGCTACATTTTTGGCATGTGTTTTTATAGTATATGAAAAAAAGCTATGTAATATGCAAATTAATTTTACGGGATATGAACGTGTGTAATATACGAATTGCTCTATTTGATGGGAGTTGTAAAGGGTGTAATGTAGGAATTGCTGCATTTCGTAGGAAGTGAAAGTGTGTAATATAATAATTGCTGCATCATTTGAGGGTATACAATAGTGCAGTATATGGATTGCTCTATTTTGTGGGATATGAAAAGTTCGTAATATTGAAAGTACTGTTTTTCGAGGGATGTGAAATGTTTTGTAATATACGAATTGCTGTATTTTGTCGTATTCCGTGGGATATAAAACGTGTTTATTATATTATGTACTAGCAGCCATACCAAGCTGGTCGATCAGAAAAAGCGTTCAATTAGAATGGAGCAAAAACAGAATCATGTTTAGATGTAACAGAGTCTATCTTCTTCAATTACTGTAAAGTACTTTCATTAAAAACCCATTTTGAATTAATGCAGTTACTGATATAACAGAAGTAGTCTGTGTTTATTGAATTGAAGTTAGCCGAGGACAGGAAGGGGTAAAACAGGCAACATGAAGACCCACTTCAGACCACAATTATTCTGGAGTATTTGAAATTGAGTTTGTCAGTGTGCTACCAGGGATATAAAAGAAGATACATTTATAAAGTAACTGTTAAGAAAGATCAACGGAAAAAAAAAAAAAAAAAGAAACTAGTAAAAATCGACATTTTTCGCTATTTACACGAGTTTTCACTATATGGGTGGACTCATTTATCAAGTTAAATGACTGTTAAACAATTAAGTGAAGTTTGTATTAGATTGCTTGAAAATTAAGGGAAATTTTGTTTAAAATTTGTGTTGAAATCGATTTTGCGTTTTTCGCGTAGAAATATAAATGAGGTATCGTTGACTTTATCATGATGTAAGTAACCTACATACCGGGTTTGCACATAATCGCTGACAAAAAGTTGAATTTATCGATTTTTGATCGGCTTTATCGATTATTGATATTTTAAAAATTATCGATTTTTTACGCTAAAAACCTGTCTCTTAGACTGTACAACGCACGAGCCAAGTTTGGTCAAAATCGGTTGGATGGATCTCGAGTGAAAGGGTATCACACAGACACACACGCAGACATCCTCTGTTTCATATATAGACATTATTGAAGCTTGCTCTTGCTTTTACTAAACAGAAATTTGGCACGGAAATTAAAATAAAAAGAAGAAAACAATGGAATCCAGGTCATAAAAATGTATGACAACGCTGGTTATATCATTGACCAAAGAAACTTCATTAGTTGCTTTTGTCTACCTCTATTGTTTTTATCCTTATTGTTATTTTTCTATATCTCACACTTTTCTCTCTCTCTCTCTCTCTCTCTCTCCCCATTCCTTGTATCGTTTTCGTTGTCTTCCGTTATTATTTTTATCCTTATCTTTATTTTTTCTATACCTTCCCTCCCTCTCTCACTCTTTCTTTGTCGCCCTCTGTCATATTTATCCTTATCTTTATTTTTCTATATTTCCACTCTCTCTCTCTCTCTCTCTCTCTCTCTTTTCCCCTATTCTTTGTATCTTTTTCTCTACCTCCCTCTAATTTTTTCTTTTCGTTTGTCTCTCTTTTCATTCTTTTTCTATCCTTTCTTGATTTTTCTTCTTTTTTCTTATTTTTTCATTGTTTCTACTTTTCTTTCCTTTTCACAGTTTTTTTTTATTTCTTTCTGTGCATTCTTCTCAAACCTTTTACAACTTCTCGTGTTTCTTTTTTTGTTTTGTTGTTGTTTTTTCTCTCTCTTTCTTCACGCAATATTTTCTCACAATCTCTCTCGCGCTTTTATTCGTATTTTCTTTCCGTCATTTTTGTTATAATTTTCATCTTATCTTATTATTATTTTTTTTTCTAACAGTTTTTTTCTTCCATTTTATCCCTTTTAACTTATTTAATTCCTCAAATCCTCGCGCCTATTTTTTGCTTTTGATGTCCTTTTCTTCTCCGCTTCTTAATGCCGCTGTTTTCTTTCTTTTCTTCTTCCTTCTCTCTCAATCTGTCTAAGTGTAAAGGTCACCGATTGAATTGACGAACCATGAAAATGGAATTTCAAGACACATTAGGTTCTACTAAACCATAAAATTATTCTTCTGAAGCGAACCAAACTAGATTTAATTGAGCGCTTTGCAGCTGCTTTAGTTGTTTCAATTTCATTTTACCTTTTGCCTTTTACAAGGTTTTTGAAATCTTTGCGAACGCAAGAAAATATTGCCATTGCAACACACCCTGAAACTTAGCTTTTCATTTACTAGTTATCTATGGTTCATTGAATAAAAATAGGAGTTCATTTTAAGAAACTATTTCGCTAGAACCAACTTTACTGCCACTGAGCCCAATTCTAAATCTGAGAGCCGAAATAAAAAAAAAATAGTTTCATTTGAAATTTATTCTCTGATAATTTCGAATCACATTATTTGAATAAATTATATATTAAATTACTTATACGTCCGACAGTTTATCCACAATTTCGAGCACATTACATAGCACCTTATTCGAAGACAGGAAAATATAGTAAAATATTAAACAGAGAGAGAGCATATCTGTTCTTTTTAAATAAACTTGTTTGGATGAGTACTTACTGCCTAAATATAATAACCTATTCACACACACACACACACACACATATATATGTATATATATATATAATTTATTCGAAATATATATATATATATATTATTCGAAATATATACATATATTTATAAATATATAATTTATTCGAAAATTATAACGTAATTATGTTATAAAATCACTACAAAAACAGTCATTTTGTTTCAACACTTCTGGTGTCTTATCAAGTGATGGTATTGAAATTCAACAAGATCACTTGATGAGACACCAGAAGTGTTGAAACAAAATGGCAATTTTTGTAGTGATTTTTTTTTTAAAATATATGTTATAATTTTCGAATAACTTATATTTGTTCTACTCGGTATTGAGCACTCTTTTAAGAATAGTATTTTTGGTTACTGGAATTTATTCCGTATACACCAATCCTATACTTTATATATATATATATATATATATATATATATATATATATATATATATATATATATATATATATAAGTGTAATGTATGTTAGAACTAATGTCCAGCCATTATATTTTTTAAAAAGTGCTCAATACAGAGTAGAGCTTAATAATATTAATATTTATTAACAATTTTAACAAAAGCATGTTATGAACTGCTATATAAATGCAATCATGTTTCGATACTGTGTGTGCTTTCTCAGGTGGTGTTGCTCAACTAGAGAATAGATAGTCATTTTATGGTTTAAATTTAGCAATTCCCTCAACAGGGAGGGGTAGGAAAACCATAAAATTCCCCAAATGAGCAACGCCGGCCGAGGAGGCACACACTGTGTCGAAACATGATTGCATTTAGGTAGCGGTTTATAACATATTTTTGTTATAACTGTTAATAAATATTATATATATATATATATAGTAATAATACAATATGGTAATCCGTATGGAAATAAATATACCGTTAACGTATGTTAATCTCATCCAAATGATATTCTCTCGACATTTTGGCGGTAAAATAAAATGTTATATTTATCGGGAAAATCGCATGATAATTTTCAACATTATTTTAGCCACTTAATTTTGAGTTATTCTTAATGTCAAGGTTGACAAAATGTCTTCATAATTATTTTTTTCTTTTTCTTTTTTCTTTTTTTGACAAAATTTCTATAAGCGTATTATACATAGGGATAGATATATTTCTTAATTTTTGGATTATTTGTTGGGGTGCGTATTATTTTAGAGAAATTAGGGTAAATCTAATATCTAAAATAATACCGACAGAAAGATAAGCCATATATGGTGCAACACAGTTCAACTAAAATCTAAGAAAAAGCAATTTCAAATTCCAAATCTAACTGAATTGTAAGGTAAATGTAGACTGTTTACAATTTTCATGAACTCTGTTTTCTGTGTTTACATGAAAAATCCAAATTTTCTGTGTTTACATTGTTTGATTGTGATATAATGGAATATGCATACACCTGTGTTTCCCCTCACTGGAATATGATTGGCTGGTGTCCGTCATAAATACAGACGGACGTGTAGGTACGACAGAGTTTAAGTCTATGACGACGCCCATTGGACTACGTCATTGGCTATCCTATTGGTCTACCGCTATTACCTGCGACTACGACGAGTGCCAGTCGATTACTGCTACCGTGTACTATTTGGTTATAGTAGCCAAACCCATTTAACTAATTCGATCAAATATATCCCTTTCCGGGACATATCAGATTGGTGGATCTACGCAAAGCCCACAAACCTTTTAGCCCCCCTTTTTTCATTTTTCTTTTTCATAAAAAAGAGGCTGTATTTTGTTTTTAAATCTAATTAAATCTTTCATTCGCCAGTAATTTACAATCGCCTGATGAGATGTGTTGTATGCATTTCGAAACACGACTACAATTGTGTAGCGCTTTTGATATGTTTTCGATGTAATGTTCTCAAACAAAGAATATTGCTCTACTTTGTATTGAGTCCTCTTTTAAATTATATGTTAATTCTTTTAAATTATATTTTCTCATTTTTCCTGGATATATATATATATATATATATATATATATATATATATATATATATATATTTACCTGTAAATAGAAATATTACGCCCTGAAGATGAGAATTTGAAATTGTCGAAAGTACTCGGCCCACGATCATTAATTGTATCTGTGAACAATTCAAATATAAGGATCGCCTTATTCAAGGAATTGATAGTAAGTTATTTCTATTTGATAGTAGTGATTTCGCCATTAATCACATTAACATTCATAATTAATTCTTTGTATAATTACTTCTTTATGATATAATATATATATATATATATATATATAGAGAGAGAGAGAGAGAGAGAGAGAGAGAGGAGGAGGAGGTATGGCGGAGTAGCGGATTGCGGTTCGGATCGAGGAATCAGGGAGCCGAGTTAGAATTTAATATTAATCCTCCTCTTCTCCCTCCAGCTATGGGTAAATAGCAGGAGAGACTGGGTTCTATAGCCTTGGATGGTAACTGGTCTAGGAGAAGAACAACTCTGAATTCAAAAAACGTGTAGTTGGGTCTGTACAAAGCCTATAATCAAATCATGTGTGCTCGTATCTGGATGTCGGTTCCTAGGAACTGAGCTGCTTGACCCCGAATCCACTATATATATATATATATATATATATATATATATATATATATATATATGTATGTATGTATGTATGTATGTATGTATTGTAAAGAAGTAGACATGCAAAGAATAAATCACTTCACTAACAGATTAAATAAGGCATTAACTCACTGACGCGATTTGGACAAATTCTATATAATTTATGTCACGAAAAGAAGAAAGTTATATGAATATAAAAAAAAATTAAATAAAAAACTTAACCGTAGTACCTTGTTAGTCGTTTTAATGAAGCTTGCATAAAAGAGGGGTTAAAAAAAATTCACAATATATATATATATATATATATATATATATATATATATATATATATATATATATATATATATGAAGAAATATAGTGTTAAGATGTGCTATATTTATGGATAAAGTTCTCAATATCAGAGATAGAGCGTGTAAAAATATAAAATATAAGTTGTGTTCACTTTTATATTTATATAATTCTCAACCTGCACAAGGTTGATAAGCTGTAAAGTAAAACAAATCAGCCAATCGATCATACCCTACTTGTTGTATGTTCTTCATCCTGATTTGTTCTCTTCCGTAAAATGGCTTGCGATCTCATGCTGCTTTTTTATTCTTCTTTCATCGATGTGATTCTTATGTTATCTTGAGACTGTTTTTTTCAAAAGACAGCTGTTCTCTCTATCTATCTCTCTCTCACACACACACACACACACTTTCACTCTGTCTGTCTGTCTGTCTCTATCTCTCTCCCTTAACCCTGCTGAAGGGTGAGGATTAGAGTTAACTAATTAGGGTTAACTAACCCTAACCCTAACCCAAGATCCTCTTTCCTGAATACTGAGATCGCAACTTTATTATGTGCCGTGTTTCTTTAGGACGTTGGCTATCATGACGCCACAATTTTTTGTCCTTTTGTCTTTTTTATCTCTCCAAAACTCTTTCCATCACCCATTCACTCAAGCTCGCCAGGCAAATTATACGTTGTTTTCCTCTATCTTTCTTGCCTTCAATCTGTTTTGTGAGTATCAAACTTTCCAAGCCCTCTTTCCTCATTATGTGCCCCAGAAATTTCAATTATCTCTTCCTCATGTTAAGTATAAGTTTCCTTTTCGCTTCCATTTTCTCCGAAACCACGTTTTGCTCATATTCTCAGCATCCTTCTGTAGAAACATATTTCTGTTTGTTCAAGTCTCTTCTTGATTTTTGAGAAGATTGTCCAGCATTCTCTGCCATAGAGGACGATTGATATTACATAACGGTACAGTAGACGTTTCTTTGTTTTTAACGCTGCTAAGTTAAATCTAATCGCGCTTGGTGATTAAAAAATAATTTGCAAAATGAACTAAGTGACCCGAGTAGGCAGGTAATGTGTTCGGAATGAGTTAACTGTGGTGGGAGTGGGAAACACCAGAGATATCGCAGGGAAAATACGAGACCAGCTGCGAGATTAGCTATGGCAAATAAAAAAAAAACATAGCGTTCAGAAAAATGAGGCATCTTTTGTGCCTCTAGGTAAATTTCTATTGGATATTCTTAGGCAACCATCTTCTTATGTGTCATAAGCTAAGCCGGCAGAAGATGGCGATAAAGATAATGGCTGAGCGCTTAAATTAGTTTTGTAATCAATTTTATTGTACGAAATTATTCTTTTTTCCTTCATTTGTATATCTCTCCATGTCTTTCCCATTTTATTTTCTTTCTTCTCTTTATTTTATTGATCTTTTTCGTGTTTTTTCTCTTCCTTTTCCTTTGCTCTTAACAGTTTTCCCTTGGTATCTTCCTTCCTCACATATATTCCTCTTCTTTCTTCTTTCTTCTCACTCTTTTTATCATTTTCTTTCTCT